GTGTTCTTCTCAACCCAGCCCTCTTGATAGAGAAACAGATCTTGGCTATGGCCAGAGCTGCCATTTTTCATCTTACGCAAATTGCACACCTGAGCCCCTGCCTAGGCAGGAAATTCCTGGTCACACTAGTTCATACATTGGTTGTCTCGAGGATAGACTATAGCAATGCTGCCTGTGTGGGGCTGCCTTCAAAGGTGGTATGGAAGCTGCAGCAAATCCAAGCTGGTCAGGCTAATTTTGCGAACTTCAAAATATGGTCATATTTCCCTGGTCTTGGCTTGCCTGTGTTGAGTGTTGGTTTGCTTCTGTGCCATACTCCAGGTACTAATGATCTATACAGCCCTAAACATTTTGGGACCTCACTACTTACTGGAGTGCCTCCCTTTAAGATCAACTACCCGTGTCATAAAGTCTGAAGCCCACTCTGCCTAAAGCAGGGGTGCCCAGACTTTTTGAGTTGTGACCCCCTTTTATAATAGCCAAGTAACCTGGGATCCTCCGTGCAATTTTTGCATAAAAAGGCATGTTTAATAAGGTAAAGTCATCCTTTCTTAGAAAGAAAGGCTCCTTTCTTTCCCAAATGTTGCTCATACATACATAAACACTAAATTTAATAATATGAAAGATCAAGAAAGAAATTATTTAACAAAGACTGCAACACATATGTGACCTGTCACACACACACCCCACCGAAAACACTTTGCAACACCCTTGGAGGTCACAACCCCCAGGTTTGGGAAGCACTGGCTTAAAGGCATGTCCTACCAGCTGCTGCTACTGAACTTTTCTAATCCCCATTTCTTTTCTTCCAGAAGTATGGGGGTGCTCCAGATGATATGACACTTACATTGCCTCTGAAGAAAGAACAAAAAAGGAATTTTATTGCATGGGAATATTTCTACCTAATGGCTAATGTTCATGAGACATCTTCCTATGTTATGTGCCTGACATCATGGATATTCTTCTTCTTAAATCACTGCTTCTGGTACTAGCCAGCTTTTTAAGTGGACTCTTCTGCTGCTACCGTCCAGGTCTCTTTCTGGATGTGAAAAGATCAGCCTATAAAAAACCAAATTTCATCATAATTTTAGCCGACGATATTGGATGGGGAGATCTTGGAGCCAATTGGAACCTGAGAAATGATACACCTAACCTGGATAAGATGGCGATGGAAGGAATGAGGTAAGCTCTATATCAAAGCCTAGTACTTCCCATAATTGTTGTTTTCTTGGTATTGTTTTAACATTTAAAAATGGCACAACCCTTTAGGTTCATGTGAAATATATAATAGTATGGAGAAGGAAGAGGAAGATAAGCTAGTTTAGATACCAAAGACTTCGAATTAATCGAATTGTGTGTATGTGTATGTGCACATGTTCACTTTAAGCAAAAAGAACTCTCCAGAGTTCTTAGAAGAATCTTGAAGTAGTTTGGCCACTGCAGACACAGCGAGAAGTGCGCAAAATGATTCTTGGAGGGAAATCACTCATCTAGTTTCAACCTTCTGAGCCATTGCAGTGGACTGTCCTGCCCCACCTCTCCCACAGTTGCAGACCAGGAGCTCTGCCAAGTGTTCTTTGTTGGGCAAAATCCTGTTGGTGCAGTTCTGCCAATGCAAAACAGATGGCAGTGCCAGAAATAATTAATTTACACGAAAGCTTCTTATCTACATATTTCAGCTTCCAAGGCTCCCCATGACCCACTTTTCCTCCCTTTTGTGAGCTTCAGAATGGCCGAGGGGGGCTTTAAATAGTAAAAAAATCACGGCTAAATTGCGGCCACTGGGATTGAAACTGCTGCTGGGTGAGTTTTGACTATTAAAATCTCCCCCAATTCCAAAGCTCCCAAAGGTTTCCCCAGTGCCAAAGGAGCTGTAGGGATCCTCAGAACCTGAAAAGAGGGTGGGGGATAGGAAGATTTGAATTAGTTCTTTCCAGTGCTCTGATCCCGTTTATGTTGGCTCAAAGTTACCATATTTTTCCATGTATAATACACTCCCACGTATAAGATCCCCCCCCCACTTTTCTAACCCAGAATTTCTTTCTTCACAAGAAAGTGGAGGGGGAAAGCAGGGATTAAAGCTCTTTGATTCCTGCTTTTCCCTTCCACTTTCTAGCTTCCACTGCCACTTTCTTCAGAAGTGGAGGGGGGGGGGAAGCAGGAACCGCTTTGATGAATTGCTTTGATGATTTATGCTTTTCCCCTCCACTTTTTTTCCGAAGAAAGTGGAGAGGGAAAGCAAAGATCGAAGCGCTTTGACCCCTCCCCCTTCCTTCTGTGTATAAGACGACCCTAAATTTTTCATCTAAATATTTTAGAGAAAAGTATCATCTTATACATAGAAAAATACGGTATGCAATAAGATTTTTTCCCCATATATTTTTTAAAAAATATTTGTACCCTTCTTTTTTCTCAGGAGGAACCAGGGAGGCATACCTTATCAAAACAAACACACAATTGTAGTAACAAAACAGCACCCTTAGTGTTCTAATTGCTCTTGATTAGTAATGGAAATACTCCCAAGCCAACTACACCAGAGCACAGGTTGCTGTCCTCTGAAGATGCCGGCCACAGAGACTGCCGAAACGTCAGGAAGAACAACCTTCAGAACATGGCCAAAGAGCCCGAAAAACCCACAACAACCATTAGATCCCAGCTGTGAAAGCCTTCGCGAATATAATGGAAATAAAATTCAGATGGGAAATAAGTCACCTCTGGTCCTGACACAGTGAGGGCAGATTCAGTGTGTCTGCTCTTGAGAGATGAGAAGAGCAAGGCATAGGAGCATGCAGTAGAGTATCCTGTAGTTACCCAGGTACACTTACTTCTGCATGGTTCTTTTAAGAATTCTGAGAGTGTAATCGTTTGCTTAAAGTGACTTTGTGCCCATACGCACATGTGCAGCTTTCGTAGCTGGTTACAGAGAGATGCTTGAGGACATGATGGAGGCTTTTTCCAAAGGTCGGCCAGTGTACAGAGCGGAAGGCAATTGCAAACAGTTCAATGTTTTGATACAACATTCTAGTCAGTTCTGGTAGTATCCTTCTTCTCTCCTATGATTTTTCAGTCTTATGTGTCTTGAAGGTGATTTCTGTAAGTGCACTGGCATTTTTTTTGGGGGGGGAGGGAAACTTTGCCAATGTAATGCATCTCACCCATTGAATGCAATTAAATATTGCTATTTTGGGGGGGGGGAGTTATTTTCTTTGATTTTGTTTTAAGCGACAGCTGCTTTTTACCTGGAGGTTTCCAAGTCACGTTTTCAAGCTTTCCTCTATGACCGCAAGAGCAATGAAACGTTTTAACACAAAGATTCTCACTGTTAATTAATGGCTGTACTTTTAGGATGGACAGAACCTGTTAATGACCCTAGAGTTTATGGTTTCACAGACAGCGTCAGCACTGGCTTGTAAAACCTGCCCAAACAAATTGTTACGTCAGGGCACCGAGTTAACAAGAATGACTGGGAGTTCCGTTTTGCTCAGCTTGCATCTTTTTTACTCAGCATTTGTCCATCCTGAATGGATTTGCTTCATAACAGGGTGGCATGAATGCAAGCCTTGGAGAGTGGCAGATTTAAACAAGTATGACTTGGGCTAACCTGCTTTCTGCCTACTGATTTTAGTATGCCTTCCCTTAACATGGCCAAGCCTATGTACCCTGTTTTTCAAAACTGTTCAGCAGAGCACGGTATAAGAATAAAAGTCTTGTGTGGAATGTAGGGCTCCATGGCTTCCATATCTGCTTGGTATAGCCATTTTAGAGTAAAATACCCATTTTAGGGTGTTTTATGTGTGTCACTCCAGTAGTTCCCCTGAGAGCCTGGTAAGAGTCGGCATCAAGAGACAGAAACAGAGAAGTCCAGATGTCCTGCCTGCTGTGTATTGAAGCTTCAGGGCCTGTGGTCAAACTAACTTTTGAAGAGAGTGGCTACAAGACTTGGAGAATTGGTTTGGGATGGGTTGGTTGTATCACGTCTTCTCTCAGAGAATGCAGAGTCAATAGTCTTTCTTCATTCTTGCAGACAGGGATGGTAGTCATTCAGTGGCTCTTCCCTTTTCTTATACCAAAGAGCAGGGCTTTGTTTTATATTCTTTGATTTTTGTGTTTATTGTTATCTGGACAATGCAAAACGTTCACCTTGCTATATAATGGTAACCGGCCGATAATATTCAGCCTATATTTTGTTCCTTGTCATGTTCTTGGACCCTTAGCAGTATCAAATTCCCCAGGGTTCTCAATGGAATCAATTATCTGTTGTCTTGATAACCACATCTCCATTGAAAGGCTCTTATGACATATTGCGTGTTTTGGGCAGTGTGCATCTCAAAATCTGTAATGACAACTGTGACACTCTAAAATCAAATCAGCTTCATTTTCCGCCTCCCCAGTTAGGACATGGCTTTTTCAGACAAACGTTAAGTGAGAGTCTAGGCTGTCTGGAAGTTTCACAAGGATGGGAAACTTGATAAAGCTTTCATCTTATGAAGGCAGCAGCACAAGCAGCAATATCATTAAAACATCTGGTTTTCACTGAGGTGCTACATGTGGAGCACCCTACCCTCAGGGTACCTAGTTGGATGATTCCTTGCATAGCATTTGTTTTGATAATTCTCAGGGAAAGTTTGTGTTTGTGTGTACCTTGCCACTGCCACATTGTTACCCACCCACTTCTAAGTCCCACAGAAAATGGCAGAATATGCAGCATGTTATTTCTATCTGCGTGTAATGTGCCATCAAGTCATGGGACCAGTGGCGATGATTTTTGGATATTAAAGGCTCATCTCCTCCCCACGCTCTTATCCTGAGGCTCCCACCGTCTTCCTCTAGCTCAAAAAGAATGCCTGGGGAGCTTTGGAACTGGAGTGGGAAAGAATAGGAAACTTCGAATTAAAGATTAATATTAAAAACTGATGACATCATCACCATTTACAACTGTGCAGCTTTGCCAAGAAAATTAGAGCCAGTATGTTGCAAAGCTGGAAAAAAAATAACTTGTTTGAATTACTTTTATTACCCTTTGTTGGAAAAAAAAAAGCATCTAGAAGGTTGCATTTAGCATAATCTCTTCTAATGCCTCCAGCACCTTTTCAACTCCCCAAAGGTAACAAGTAGACATTATAGGGAAGCATCTTCTTAAATGTAACAATACTACCATTTATTATGGGTTTTTGTTTGTTTGTTTGGGAAAAGGACAGTTGCAAAGAGTATGGTGTTATGGCTACTGCATCATTTGTAATCTGTTATTTTTAAGCTCTGATGGCTTTTTTAAAAGCCAACTTCTTTGCAAAGAGTGCATTTTCCACTGAGGATCAGGAGGCAGGGAGGAGGACGGAGACCTGTGTGTTTATGCAAAACAGACAGCACTCCTTCCACCAGAAAACAATGTCAACATTTATTGAAGGTGATTGTGCTACAGTTTGATTGAGAAAATCAAAAGGTTTGATAAGGAAGAAGGGAAAAAAAGAGACTAGGACTTTAGAATCAAGGGTAGAGAAAACCTAAGTGCATTAAGGGTTAATTGTTTAAGGGTTAATGGTTTGCAGCATTCTTTAAATCTAAAGTGGAGGCCATCCACCGGGACCTAACCCCCTATTGGAAAACAGTAGATTGAGCTGAGACATCCAGTGCATCCTCTGTCTGATGAGAATTACTTAAGTGCTTGAACACTGTTCTGCCACCACCTCCTTCCTTGACCCTTGCCCAGCTTGGATAATCAAAGCAGCCAGGCCTGTGACAACTGAATGGGCCACTGCCAAAAATAATGGGTCTCTCCAGGGGGGCAAAGTTCCCCTTGCCCTCAAGGAGATGCTCATTAGGCCCATTAGGAAGAAACTGAGCTTGGCGGGACAATATTGGCAATTATAGGCCCATCGCCAATGTTTCTTTCCTTAGCAAGGTAGTAGAGAGGGTGGTGGCTGATGAGGTTCAGGCACTTTTGGATGAAACTAATGCCCTGGATCCATTCCAGTTGGGCTTGAGGCTGCACCACAGTACTGAAACAGCATTGTTTGCCCTGCTGTATGACCTATTGAGGGAGGCTGACAGGGGCAAAATGTCTCCTCGACATCTCAGCCGCCTTTGATACCGTTGACCACGGTATCCCCCTGGGGAGGCATTCCGAGTTGGGAATCAGTGGTCTGGCTCTTGTCTGGCTCTGGTCTTTCTTGGAGGACCATTCTCAGAGAGTCCAGCTCGGGGAGAATGTATCGGCTCCGTGGCTCCTCAATTATGGGGTCCCTCAGGGTTCGATCATCTCTCCAATCCTGTTTAATATCTACATGAGGCCTCTGGGAGGTGTTATCCAGTGGTGTGGTGCCTCGTGTCATCAGTATGCTGATGACACTCTGGTTTGCATTTCCTTTTGTCCATCAGCAGTGGATGCCTTTACGTCCCTTGAGCACTGACTGGGGGCTGTTTTATAATGGCTGCAGGAGAATGGACTGAGGCTGAACCTGGGACCGACGGAGGTCATGAGGGTGGGTGCCCCTGTCATCAGTGGGTTGAGAAGCTCCCTCTCTTTTGGGGGAGCGACTCTCACCACAAAGAGTGTGGTCCGCAGCATGGGGGTCCATCTTGACCCTGCGCTTGCTGTGGAATCTCAGGTAATGTCTGGTCTGCACCACCCATTTACATCTTTGGGGGATTGCCCAGCTGTGCTCCTATCTTGATGTTGGAGCACTCACCACACTTTTCCACGTCCTCGTAGTCTCAAGATTAGATTACTGTAATGCACTCTATGTGGGGCTTCCCTTGAAATTGATGCGGAAACTTCAAATGGTCCAGAACACAGTGACCAGATTACTAACTGGGGTGAAAAATATCATCATTTTCCCCCCACTCTGGCTGCCGCCTTACACTGGTTACCCATTAGATTTGGCATCATTTTCAAGGTGCTAATGATTACATATAAAGCCCTAAATGGCTTAGGATCTCGATACCTGTCAGAGCACCTTCTTCCACCTAGTTCTACCCATGTCACTCATTCTAATCAGACTGGGCAGCTGAGAGGCCCAAAAGGAAAAAACTAGAAACTGAACCTTCTTGGTGGTGGCCCCTTGCCTTTGAAACATCCTCCCCCCTTGAGATCCACCTGACTCCTTTGCTGGGAGTTTTTAAGAATAAACTGAAGATCTGGCTCTTTAGGCAGGCCTTTCCTCCTGACATTACTTAATTTCCTCTCCTGGTTTTTCCATCTTGGATTATGTCTGCTTGTTTTAGATTTTTAATTGATGTTTTCAATGTTACTGCTTTTTTTTACTGTAAACTGTCCTGAGTAGATTTACCTAGATGGGCAGTATAACAGCCAAATAAATTTTATTGCTTTTTTTGGACTGTAAACTGCCCTGAGTAGATTTATCTAGACGGGCAGTATAACAGCCAAATAAATAGATAAATAGTTAAAAAAATCAAGGAAAGCAGGATATTAATAGTAAGTCGGCTTTTTTTCCTCCTATAGATTTGTAGATTTTCATTCAGCTGCATCCACCTGCTCCCCATCGCGTGCCTCTCTGCTTACAGGACGCCTTGGCCTTCGAAATGGAGTGACCCACAATTTTGCTGTGACGTCAGTGGGAGGCCTCCCGTTGAATGAGACAACATTAGCAGAAGTCCTAAAGGAAGCTGGCTACCTCACTGCTGTGATAGGTGAGTTCATCCATTGCAGAAAGAAAAACAACCTAGTTCCATACTTGGTTGTTTTTAGGTACATTTGATCGTGATGCGGAAGGGATGTTGGGGGCTTTCCACTAGAGGTCCAGGTAGCTTCCATGGCACAGAATATCCTGTATTAACAGCTTTAGCTGGACTGCCAGTTGTAGTCTTGTGTGGGTGGAAATAGCTGGCTGCTGTGATCTGGGTATTGATAACCTCCCAATTGGATTTCTTCCTGGCAGTGGATCCTTCCCTGTTCAAACCACAAGCTGCCTGTAGGATTACCATGATGTGCCCTTCTCTCACCTAGGTGCATCCCTGGAATGGAGAGGGGGTCCTATAGCCTTGGAACTGAGAGAGACAGTGCCGAAGGAGAGAGAGAGAGAAAGGAGACACGCAGAGACACTTGTAAACACAGAGGATGGCGGGGCTCCTGAGAGTTTTGTGATTCTGCCTCCTCATAAAGTAGCCAATTGATGGCAGTGGCCAGGGCATCTCTTTCTGGATCCAAATGTGACCACAAGCAATTTGGGGAACTTAGGTACTAATGCAATTTGTTATGAATTAAACAGGAAATTTCCTAAGCAAGGGGAGCAACTTCATTCAATTTGCTATTTTAATGGATATGAATTTCCATTTTTTAAAAATACGTGGTAGGATGAATCTTGTGGTGGTGCGCTTTCCTTACATCAAGGAAGTCAAGGTGCAGCATCCTCCTGGATGTCCCGGAAGTGGCAGAAGTCAAGATGCTCTAGGGGTGGGTGCATGGGTTCCCGTGTTTGAAAATACTCCCTGTATGCATCTAACCCTGGAATACACATCTATAGATTTCTTAATAAGTCTTTGAACGTATGTTTGTTTACTAGTATTTGTAGCTTATTTGTCTTTATATTCCATTTTTGTTTCGGTGAGCTTCAGTCAGCATACCTGACTCTCTCCCTCTCTCCACTTTATCCTCACTTGTCAGGCTGCGAGGTAGGGGGACTAGGCCAGGCTCATTCAGTGAGTTCCACAGCTCTGTGGGGACTTGAAACCGCATTAACTCACCCTCATTCTGCTAGTCTTTTAGGCTAAAAGATGGTCAGAATAATGTGACATGTGTCAATCCTTCCCCACTAACTTTCCAGTCTCTGCCCATAAGTTCCCACAGATTAAGCCCCCATTCCCAGCCAGGGCCACATCAAAGTCAAAGAGTCAAAAGGGTTATAATGCTGTCAGCATGTGAGATTGTATGGGAGCTTCTGGGAATCCATTTTGAGCTTATCATGTTTGTCTGGTGGCTATGGACAGGAGAAAAATGTGTGTGTTCTTTTCAAGTGAATGAAAGAAAGGGGTCCTTGCATATCTAAGCTTTAATGGCTGATATTTGATTTACATGCAAGACCTTCCTGTCTCCTTTTTGGGCATGCCGTGCAGGGAATGGCAGTAAGTATTTCCCACCTAGACCCTTCCTTTCCTTCGCCTGCCCTTGAACCATGTTATCAGAAGAACCAAAAGAAAGAGTGTCCAGAAGACAGATTGTTTTGCCTGTGTCATACCTTTGGTGCCCATTAAATTTAACAACAAACTGAAAGGCTCATCTACAGTAGTTTGATGGGCAGAAGTGGCATATAGATCAGGAGTTAAGCCTCTTCCTCAGCCCCACCAGTCACCTTCCCACATAACTCCCTGGGTACAATAACAAGAACTGAGTCTTGTATCCAGTTCCTACTGTGTCTGACATATGCTAGACTGCCCCTCTGACGATAGATCTACGATTGCTTTGTTGTAGGGAAGTGGCACTTAGGACATGAAGGACGTTATCATCCCAATTTTCGTGGTAAGGATTAAATTTTATTTCTCTTGGTTTCTGGAAGGCCAGTGGCGCTGTTGGCTTGGCGCTCATGGAGAGAACTGGGCGTTCCACCTGAGACTGCAAATAGGATCTCCTAAGGCTGTATGTTCTCCATATAAAAACATGCCTTTGATGTAGGAAATGAGCATGCCTGGGAGAAAGCTAGTTTACAACCTAGACTGTCTCTGATTATGCTAGTTTTCCGGGCAGTGGGCATGTTAATCTTACAAAGAAGCATTCAGTGATGTAGGGACCCCACCTGTGATTGCACGTTCAATCTATGAAGCAGACGTTTTTAAAGTTTTTGACAAATGGCTGTTTGAAGGAGGAGGAACTTTCTCACCTCCCTTTGTTTGGTGATTAATCATCAGGAGGTAAACATGAGCTTACTTTTCATGTCTGGTGGAGAGGCAGAGTCAGCACCTACATGAGCCTTAGCAGAAGAAGGGCTGAATGGAAATTGAGATAGAGATAGGGCTGGTTAGTTAGAGAGAGAGAGAGAGAGAGAGAGAGAACTGGTTAGAAAAATAGGTAGAGAAGGTGGTAATGATATTGCAAGAAAAAAGAAGTATGTACTGAGAGGACTGTTAATGATTTGCTTGTGTACAATGTTTATCTGAAGAACTTCTGTTATTATTCAGTCTGCTTCACTTCAATAAATAAGTTCTGTTTCTGTTCACAAGACAAGTGTTCTGGCAAATGTTGAGGTAATCCACTGGTGGCAGTGAGAAGAAAATGTGATGTGAGCCTTTGTGAGTGAAAGACAAGCAGGGGCCACAAAGGGCAAAGACCACAGCTTCAGACAACATTGGCATCTGATTTAACTTGGTACCATCGAAATGTAGGATTTTTAGAATGATTGGGAACACCACCTTAATGAGCCAATCCATTTCTTATGGCAATAGTAGCTTGCAGGCTTCCAGAAGCAAGCTCCTCCCTTCTGTTTAACTGCATGTAAGGGGTATATCAGTACTGATCATAGTATGTTAAGTTATATTGGGCTTCCCCTCTAATTTTGGTTCATAACCATGAGTCTCATGGTACAGTGGTGGAACAGATGTATTGCAGCCAAAACTGTGCTCACAACCCAGGTTCAATCCCAGGTAGCCAGCTTGAAGTTCACTCAGCTTTCCAGCCTTCCAAGGTTGATAAATTGAGTACCCAGCTTCTTGGAGGGGTACGATGTGTAGCCTGCATAATTAAATTGTAAACCACCCAGAGAGTGCTTTACTTTTTATGGGGTGGTATATAACCAGGATATTTTTTTTAATAAATTGTCTTTAGGCTTTCATTCTAGCATGATGACCAGTTATGTGAATTCAAAACAAAACTTGGTTTTAGACACGGGTGTTTTGTATTTGTATTAGATATGAAGAGCAGCACCACAGGTGGTGTGGATTCCATTCCCCCACCTTCTGGGCCTGCTTGGCCATGAAGCGGGCTCTGTGCATCACGGTGGTCCTCCTTTGGTGGTGGTGCACCAGTCTGAGTAGGAACCTGGTGGGGCTGAGCTGGCCAGACTCCTGCCCAGATTGGTGTGCCACTACCCTCTAGAAGTTCTAGAACTACCCTGTAGAAGTTCTGATTATGGGAGGTTTCAGTAGTCGCTAGGAAAAGTCAGGGAGGCACAGGTCATATGTCCCTTCCCCTTTTGTCTTCTCTCCCAAAGGGATGTGCTGCTTGTGCCTTGGATAAGAATAAGAGAAGCACTATAATTTATGTGAGTTGCACTCAGTCCTTTCTGGAACTGGGTCTGAAAGGAAACAGAACTAAGCAGAACCTATAGCACCAAAGGTTCTCCTGCACCTGTGGTTCCCAACCTTAGCCTCCCAGACGGTCTTGGACTGCAAGTCCCAGAAATCCTGGCCAGGACAGCTAATGGCGAAGGCTTTGGGGAGTTTTAGTCCGAGGACATTTGAGGAACCAGTGTGGGGAACTGCTGTTCTAGACGTTGGATGGGGAACAGGATACTTTGGGAGTGTTAGTGCTGCAAACTCTCATGTTGTGCTCAGCCTATATATGTGGAATTGTTGCGTTGTTGTTGTTTAATCGTTCCATGTATGTGGAGACACTGGTTAATAGCCAGTAGTAAGTTCCAGCTGGAGTAGGCCTGTTGGGGATTTGGTAAGCCAGCCCTTATGTGAGTTCAGCTGATTCCATGGGCCTACTCTAGTTGCAACTTACTCCTGGATTTCAGTCACCATAATTGTTGTGTGACTGGCTTTTAAGGAAACTGAACAAGATTAGGAGTAGAGCCATTGAAATGTATTACAAAATTGGGGTACAAGTACATAACAGTATACAGCATTTCTATAAGATAATGGCAAATGTTTTCTGAAGAATAATGGGTGGCCTTGCAAAGGCTAATATTTTGCCTTTATTCCTAGGGTTTGATTATTACTTCGGGATACCCTACAGCCATGATATGGGATGCACAGACACACCAGGCTATAATTTGCCTCCCTGCCCAGCTTGCGCACGGAACCCTATGACTGGAAGGTATGGTTTTGTTGCTGACATTCAAAGAGATTCCTGTCTGTCACCTGCCTCCTGTTCCACTTCTATTAAAAAAAACCCAGCTTGGACTCTAGTGGATGGTGAGCCAAGCAGTGGTTCCCAGCCTTGGGCCTCCAGATGTTCTTGGACTAGAACCACCGCCTGTCCTGGCCAAGATTTCTGGGAGTTGAAGTCCAAGAACATCTGGAGGCCCAAGGTTGGGAACCACTATTCTAGAGAATCTCCTCTCTAACATGGCCTTGTTGCTCTTGATCTAAGTCCATGAAAAATACACTCAAGGAACCAGATGGCACCCTGGAGGGTGAAGCAGACCCTCCCGAGTGCCATCTTCCTTTCAGAGAGTGGCTTTCTAATTGCAGTCCCTCTGCGTGGCTAGAGATGCCTCATTTCACATGGACAAAATGCTAAAGGCTGTCGAGTAGACGTGCTTCATATGGGCTATTGCACTTGGACGGAACCATAGCTCATAGTAATGGTGGCTCCCTTTATTCCCGTGCGATAGCTGTGTTCAAGCGTTGTCGGTGAAATTTATCTTTTTCCCCCCTGTCCTTCAAACCTTGTTTTTCTTCTTTGTGGCCTCTGTGAATCATGCCTATGGATGGGTCTTGCATCTGTTGTGAGCACCACTGGAACTTTTGAGTGCTGAGTAAAATTTTGGGTAGGGCCTTTCCTTTCCCATACTGCACATCCATAGCTGCTCTTGAGGCAGCCCCCTCGGTTCCTTTCTGTCCAAAGGACCATTGTCTTCTTTTGCTGAGTATTTTTTCCCTCATTTTTCTTTTCCCTTGTTAGTTCTTGTTCTTAGGTGGTTTTCTTTCCTCGGATTCTTTAGAATATCAAAACAACAACAAAAAACATTGTGCCAGAAGATTGCCCAATATGATGAGCACACCAAGAACTTTTCCCTCAGAGCTGGTCACCCAATCCACCCTTGCTCTCTCTGCCAAGGATTCATCAGAAAGTGATTTTGAAACTTTCCATGCTTTGGAGAAGTCACCTCAGATAGCTGATCAGTTGTATTACATCTTTTTCTCTTTCCAAGAAACCTTTGATTGCTGAAGCCTATTTTTACACCAGCTTCCAAGATGTCTTCCATGTCCATTTTGTCCTCCCCAGTATTGGGGACTCCAGTATGGCAATGGAGTGCAGGCTTCGGCCAACCGCACCTGTGCCAGTAGAGGTTACCTGCCTTGGTGTTCGCAGGTAGCTTAGCATCGATCCTGTGACAAGCCCAAATGTTCTGTGGCGAGGGACTTTGTCCCAAAGAAAGAGAGAAAGAAGGGCAAAGAATAGATTCCCAACCCTCCTGCACTTCAGGCCAACGCCACATCATTGGTTCAGCCATCGCCATTTACAGGCTTCAGGTGCAAATACCTTTTTGTTGTAACACCCACCTCCAAATGCTGCCGTTGTCCAAGGGGAAGGACAAATCACACTTCATGCCTCTGGACCAGAGAGGTCACAAGATTGATCTCCTTGACTATTGTTTCTTTTGTTCCTCCACTGCACTCTCTGTACAGGTCAGCATTTACCAGGCTTGGATAGCAGTCTTGTCAGCAATTTTACTTTGCTAGTTTACCTCCTTGGGGACTGGAGAATCTCAGCCATTAGTTCCAAAAACAATGTGCCTTCAAGCAGTAGTTTCAGTCCAGCTCCTACTCCACCAAGCCATTCTCTTCCACCTCGAAACACTGTCTTTAGCCTGGAGATTCTTTGCACCCACTTTCTTGTGCATCATGCTGATTTCTCCACTTTGCCCTTGAAATCAAATGTTTTCGACTCAGGCTTCTACTTTTCAGTCTTACTGCAGCCCCCATGCGTTCAGCAGGTGCATGGCATCTGTAGTTTGCTTTCTGAGGACCAGAGGAATCTCCCTCCTCCCTTACACCAGTGACCGGCTGCTGTTGTCCTCCTCCAGTCCCAAGCTATTGATGGATGTGGTATTCAGTCTCCCGATTCAATAGACCAGTGGTTCTTAACCTTTGTTACTCGGATGTTTTTGAACTGCAACTCCCCTCAAGAGACTATGTCTCAGGGTCAGACTTGAAAAATCCACTTTGTTCCATTCCTGGTCCCTTCAGTATGTCTGAAGTAGCTGCCTCTCCATAGATCAGGCCCATCCTCACTGAGAGAAGGGTTTGTTTCCTCGTTTATTTTGTGCACACAGTTCAAAGACTCCTTGGACTTGTGGTTTGACCACAACAGTAGTTCTCTTGTCCTGCCTTTAGTTCAGCATACATTATGCCTGGTTCTTCATGACTTTCCTTTTACCTTGGATCATCTGGCCAAGTGTCATCTGATACCCTCATATGTACAACAAGGTCTTCAGTGGCAGTTGTCCAGAAACCATAGTGGAATACCTTTTTGGCTCGCCCACACCCTCCATTTTAGTCGCCACTGATGCATTTATGTTGGGATGATGCCCATTGCAAAGGCGTTACGGTGCATACCTGGTGGACACCTGCAATGTTTCAGCATTATACCAGTGTGCTTTAAACTTCTGGTGGTGGTAAAGACATTTAGAGCATTTGAACTTATCCTGGAAGGTTATTCAGATTGCCACAGACAATGCTGTTAAAATGTTTCAAATAATCAAACAGGACTGCAAGTCTTTGGACTCCCTCATTCAGCTAACCTTGCATCTGTGGGACTGGTGCATTTCCTGCAATATCCCTGGCTTGTGATTTATATCACAAGAATCAACCACAACCTTGCCAATGCCCTTGCAGCTGAGAGGCCCAGAAGAGCCAATGCTGATTTCTCTTTGCCTAGGTGTTGTGCTCCTTGAGTTACAAGTGTGGCCTCTCTTCCATAAAGTCCTCAGTTTAGCAACTTACTCCAAATGCCATCATTGTTTCAGCAGGGTATAATACAAACTACACTTCTTTAGTGAGGCGTTCCTCAAGAGTTGGTCCAGCCCACCCTCCTCTATCTTTTCTCCCCATTCTTTGAAAATACACATCATAGTCAAGAGCTAGGAGGCCTATGTGAACTGCATTTCAATCACTCCCTAGTATCTGAGGCAGCACTGTTTTCATGGGATCTTCCACATGTCTCAGGGCAAATTTTGGAGGCTCCTTGCCACCCTGGACCTCCTCCTTGCTTGGATATTTGTGTGTACCACGTGTGTGCTTATTTGTGCCTGGCAGATTAGGGCACTTCACCGCTATCACAGGAGATAAGTGAGCCCTCCCAGAAATAAGATGTCCTTCCACCAGTGCTTCTTATGGAAGTGGAAAGATTTACTACACTTTGCTACTTCTTTGCACCTACCTCCACGATAAAAGGTTTCCCAAAGGGTCCCATTTTGTTTTTTGTCAGTGGTGTTCACCTAAGCCTTCTGTCCTTGACTGGCATCTTCTTTGCTCCAGTATGTGAGCTTGCTAGTCATCATATGTATGATTCACAGGTACTACAAAGAAGAAGGACAGGTTGCTTACTTGATGTTTCTTCAAGTTTGTGAATTAACAAATCTCAGCCTGCCTTCCCCTCAGGATGCCTGCCATGTCTGTTCTGTGTGGAGGACATGCAACAGGGGGTGAGGATGGTGGCTTGCCACAAGAGAGGCTACAAGCCCAGAGAAGAGATAGAGTTTCTGCTAAAAAATTTACTCAGTTCTCAAATGTTCTGATGGTGATTTAGTGCAGGTGTGAAACCTGTGTGTGTAAATTCACAGTTACTGGTAAACAGCTTGTCTTTCTTTTTTGAAGAATATTATTATTGTTGTTGTTGTTGTTGTTGTTGTTGTTGTTGTTGTTGGAATGTAAGTCACATCAGTAAGGAACTGCAACAGGTATTCAGTGTTCCTGACAGCCATTTTTCCTTTAAGAAATTCTCTTCTACTCTCCTCTTTACTTTGTGAAACTGTTATAGTGTG